CTCTAAACTGTGTTCAGCCAATTAATTACACAGTCATACAGTTTTATTGAAACATAGGGGCTAAATGGGAGCACATGGGTTAAATGTGCATACAGAGAGGCATCCTTTTTTTAATGATTTTTTTTTTTTTTCACCCCAAAACTGGTGTGAGAATCTTTCTGAAGTTTCCAAAAGATTATTTTACAGGTAGAAAACAAGCCTGGGTAACTTTAAATAGAGGTTTAATAGGCCTTTTAACACCAGTCTGGGTATATGATTGTGTTCAAAACTTCTTTTCAAGGACTCTATGCTGACTGTGGGTGTTACATGGTGCAACAAGAGTTTAAAGTTACTTCAATGTCACTAGTAAAATACTCCAACACAAGGAGAGGTGTTTCAGATCAGAAAACACCTTTTTTGACAGCACATTTCTCAGGCTGATTAAGCTATCTTTTAGGAACATGCAGAACTTCACATAGCAATATTAATAACAGGTCCTAGATTTATTACCATAACAACAGGAACTATGAATTTATTCACTTTGGCGGCTGTTTTTTTTTAGGTTAAACCCTCTTACAGAGTTTTTCACCCACTGATATCAGCAATGCAAATCTTAACTGTCATCAGTGACCTCAGATTAAATTTTAATCTCTTTGGCAATGACATTAGAGAACTACAGAATCAACTATGACTCACATACACCTCCCTCTTTGGTCCTTCCATACAAGATGTGGATATCTGTACTCTAACGTGGATACCTCTGCTTCCAATATTGGTCAATCCTTTCAGGGATTACAGGACGTGCACTCTGTTCTGTTGGTTCTTCTTCCCAGCTTTGGGGTCACTGCTACAGTACTTTAATTTTAGAAATCAGAGAGCAGGGGGAAAAAATCCTGAAGTCATACACACATCTTGACAGTGTTTTGAACATAGGGATGCGTGAGCAAAGGCATAGCTACATAGGAAATGCAGTAGTAAAATGCATAAGCCTGCAATGAACATATGTTTGGGGTATCTTGCACACTCCCAGTTTTCCATCCATGACGGTGATAGAACATGTGACTTCTTCCTGTGAAGTACAGGCATTATTAATATGATTATGCCCGTTATGATCAATATATATATACCATCACTGTTTTGACAAGCTACTTATCTATCAGATACATAAAGCCTAATACAGCCCCATCTTATTATACTTACCATCAATGCCATGTTTGAAGGGGCACATGTTTCTAATTGTTTTGTCATGTAATTTTAATAAGCTATATGCTCCAGTGTGCTTGCAGGTCTCTCAAAAGTCTTCTTTTAGAGCCTCCACCAAGGCAGAAGAGTCTGAATTTGCCAGCATTCAGATAAACCCTGTAAGGATCATCTGTCACATTCAGTATCCGTAAAGAAAAGAGAGATGAAAGAACTGGAACATTAAGAAGGACAGACTGTAATTTTCTTTATGTGATGATTCACCTGTTTGTTATTTTGTTCACTGCTGGGTTTCTACTTCAAGTTTCTGTATTTCAAAATAGAATGAAAATTACTAGTCTTTTCAGAAGGAAGGAAATCAGGTACCTTCCACAGTTCTGGTCACCGGTACCAGAGGGAGAAACATTTTATACCAAACACCTATTTTGTCCCTATATTCTACAACAACCTGAGGATATATACCTCTTTACAATAGCAGGAAAGGAAAGAATAGCAAAGAGCTTTCAGCATCCTTCAGAAATCAGTCTTTCTTAGGAGCCCTGTAAACCTCTACTCCTTCTGGGTGATCACCAAAGCCATCAAGATGTGACAGGTGATTAAAATAAAAAGCATCTATAATTAAAAAGGTTGCAGATCATGAATTCCTATTTAAAATTGTGTTTTCCAATTGTGTGAATTAAATCAACTCAATTTATGAGAAGAACTAGTTTGGCAAGCTTTGAAATCAATGAAATCTGATTTCCAATTGATGTGGGTCTTGTGGCTGCCTGGCTTTTGGACTGAATTACTCTGAAAGCTAAGGCATGGGGTCTTCTGTCTACAGAAATTTAAAATTACATTCTCACTTTCCTGAAAAAAAGCTCGGTAAAGGCTTTAATAAAATTTTGCCAGGTATTTGACATTAGAAGTTCTGGGTTTTGGTCGTAATTTCTCCCCTAGCAAAGCAGATGCTTTATGAATTAAATATATTTCTATTTAAAGGATTTATAATTGTTTTTTCACAGGTGGACTTTCTGTTGTCTAGTAGTCACTCATGCTAGTCTGCTTGCTTTCTCTCTCACTGTTCTCCCTTCTGCAGGAACATTAGCTCAGTCTGTGCTCCCAGCCAGCTCTCTTTACAAAACATGCAGTATCTCTGAGCGAGCTCTCTGCTGCTTTCTTTTAACATGTAGTATCAATCATTTCAAAATAATCAAGTTTTCAACACGCTGTTTGAAACATTCACACGTACAGAATGTTATTACACAAAAGCAATTCCTTAAGAAAATAGACTAAAAAGAGCAATAAACCCAAAGAAATTCTATCATATACAGCTGCAAAGTATCTGTTGGGTGACTGAACAGCAGAGCTGGATCTCCAGATCTCCATGTTCTGCTACTGTAAACTAGAGACAGGATTAATGTCCCTGGGCTGATCACTAGGAAAGGTCTTGTTATATTTTGCATATGCTTCACTAACTATTTTCTAGTGATCAGGATAATATCTAAGATCAGGAATTCCTGGGAATTATTCCTAAATTAAACAAATGAACATGGTTAGATATTGCCAATGGTGAACACAGCAGCAGTTGAAAGCAGAGGAAAGATAGCATAAGACCCCCCCTATTGTCTGAAATACAACTTGGGCTGAGAGCAAGCTGTGTCTACCCTTACCCATTCACTTACTAGTAAAAAACCTGGTTTATTTACTTATTTCTATTCAATAGGATATCAGAAATACAAAACACAACCAAAACCAATCAGCAGAACCAGAACTTATGATCATCTGGTTTGCTGGTACAAAGCTTTTATAGGAGGCTTTCTGCCCCACCCCTTCCCATTTGGACAGCACTGCTTGGTCAGCTGGTGCTACAATAGCACATCTGAATGGTGTGGGGGCTGTCCTTCAAAGTCCTGCATGGTGGCACTCTGGCTTCTTCTGGCAGTGCAAAGTGACAGGGTGGCTTGAGCAACACAGCTGTTCTGTCTCTGCTGGCCTGCCAAGAAGGTGCTGCAGGTGAGAAAGCAGCTGACTGTGACCTTGGCCAGCTTTTACATGGTGAGAGTCAGAAGAGGACTTTTACCAAACCCCCCTTACTGCAAGCACCGGCTTGAGAGCTGACACCTATTCCATTTAAGTGCACGTAAAAAGAATAAATCAAGTGTTATCAAACTATTTATTGCAATATTGGACAGTATTTGTGAGGTGAAAGACACCTAAAGATACTACAGAGAGATCTTACCGAAGCAGCTCCCTTTTCTTGTCTTTGCCATATATATCTCACTTTTTTAATTACAGAAAGAAATTAGGTGTATATTCTTATTTAATATGAACCTGAGGGGTGTGTGGTATTCATTTCTATTTTATACACTGGCCTGTTGAGTTACCACAGATATACATTTATCCTTAGGTGTTTACAACCAGAGCTGCGTCAGGAAGCACTTGAAAATGCAGGTGGCTTTGCAGACAGCACAAAGGAGGGAAGTAGGTACTTTGTGTGGAGGAGAAGGCACCAAGCAGCCAGGACGAGTGGCTGCAGGAAGCAGAATGAAGACAGCTGCAGTAGCTCAGGCTGCTGGTGTGCTGACAGCCATTTGTTCCTCTGCTGTTGCTACCACGGCACATTGTAGGTGCTTGCTCTGCTCTGCTGCGTTGATTTCTTAACACAGACAGGGGACGTGTCTGTCCACATATCTTAAGCGTGTTGCTGTCTATTTTTCATGCCCTTATCACCAGTATCACAACAAAACTGCAGAAAAATGGAAATGGCAATCAGTGGCTATGTGTTCTCAGACACGTTTGTGCCAGTCCTTCTAGGACAACTACAGCATCCTGTTTTCTATTCCTGAGAGATCTTCATACGGGTTTTAAAAGAACAAGCTTACCTTTTTTCTTCAGGGAAACAGTGTTATGGGAAGCCTCTGGGCCTTGCTTTCTGCTTCAAGAAACAGCTTCGCTTTGTTTAATTTGCAAGTTCCTGTGTTTGAGCTGGAAAACTGTGTCGTGAAAGACCGGTGGCCTTAAACTGACCCGTGGCAATAGATTTTTGTGTCTGCATGCAGATATGTGTACACACGTATGCAGGTATATGGCAGTATATGTATACCATAGGGAAGCAAATTCTGAAGGGCGTGGAATTATTTTCAGAGCATGTCTATAATTCAGCTAAAGCAGGAACATTGCTCAGAAGGTGAAGATGAGGGTACTCAACATTTGGGTATTACAGAATATACACACTGCTTGCTACCTGCCATGGTATGCACACCAGGTCCTGTGCCCACTTCCTTCTCATTTGCCAAAAAGGTGGCTTTCCTCACTTTTTATCTGCCATTATATTATGGTCCAAACTCCAAACAGAGTTTCACAAAGAAATGTGATGAGGATTATAAGATGTTACAGGAAGCATACATTGGTGTATTACAATCACTGGGTCCGTTCTGAAGAATATAAAGGGTCTTCAGGTGATGCTGCTCTTTCATCACACTGCAGACTGAAGTTCTGGTAGTGTATACTAACAGTGACACAAAATAAAGTCTGGAAGATAAAGAAGACTTGGAAAGGTCATGGTTTTCAGTGACTTGGTCACTAACAAAAATGTGAGACGTGGGGATGATGCCTTTGAACTGTAACGGCAGGGTGGGACTCCTCTGCTGTAGGATGTTGTCTGTCCAATATTTAGGCCGAATAACTGATGTAAGGAAGGAGATCATTAGGTACCTCTGGCGACGGGAGGGCCGGGGGGTGGGCTGGGGTGTGTGTGTGTGTGCTCATCGGCACCCAGCCGGACCCCCTGTGCTCACCCCGCCGCTCCCGCCGCCGCTCTCCCGCCCAGCACCCGTCTATGGGCGGGCTGCCGGGACATGCTCACTGGGAGAGTTCCGCGGCTGCCGCACATGCTCACTGGCCGCGGAGGGCACCGCCGGAGGTAGGGGTTCGCTCCGCCAGCGGAGTACCCACGCTTTCGCTCCGCCGGGGCCGCGACATGCCCCGCCGCCGGTTCCCCGGTCGCCATCGGCCGTAATCGCGGCGGAAAGGGGAGGCCGCGGCTGAGCGTCTGGCGGTGAGCGCTGGGCCGTGGCGGTGGCGGGTCTGCGGGTGCGTGCGGGGCCCGTCTTCCCTGGGGAAGGGGCCGCGGAGGAGTAAGGGGCCGGCCCGACAGCCCCATTACCACCGGGCGGCCGCATCCGAGGCCCCGTCAGCACCTCGGCCAGCGCCGGCCGTACCGCGGCGGCGGGGCCGTGACGGGCGGCGGCGGGGCGAGGGGGTTGCTGCCCTGAGGGGAGCGCCGGACCCGTCCAGTCGCTGCGGGAGCCCCTCTCGTGTCCTCCGCCCGCTGTTCCCAAGGTGCGCCCGCAGCACGGAGGCCGCTCCCTGCCGTGGTGCCGGGGTCAGTGGGAGGCCTCGGGCCGGGCTGGGGAGGAGAAGAACCCGGCGAGGCGTAGCGGGCGGAGGGGACAGGTCCGCGATCGTTACCTGCCAGGGAGTGTGGGGCTGCGGCTCCCGGGGACACTGAAGCATCCCGGTGCCCTCAGGAGGTGGGGGTAGGGAGGGAGAGGCAGCTCCTTGGAAAGAATTAAACAAAATTAAGCAAAATAAAAGTGGGAAATGCAGCTGAGGCGTCTGGGGTGTCTCTGCTGGGCAAAGCAGATACCTGGGAATTACCTGTGGGATGGGAAACAAATGGGAAATGCCTGGGCATTGTGTGTCTGCAACCAGGAGCAGCGGGGCTGTCTCTGGCCGAGCACAAACTCAGTGCCAGGCCCCTGGGGTCCGTGCTTTGTGCCAGTGAGAAGTTAAAATGTTGAACTGAATACAATGCAATAAAGCACAGTATCGGGGTTGTGTTACTAACACTATCTTTGCAAGGCCCTTGCAGAGTTGCTCAACAGCGAGAACACTTCGTGCAAAGTAGTAAATTGTGTTTAGATTCTGTATATAAAATGAAATTTGCAACCCTTTCTCATAGCCAGCACTGAAATGATTGCTATTTTGTCTGTGCAAGGTCATAGAGGCTTTGCAGTTCCCTGCCTTGTTAGATGATCACTAACCATCTTTAATGCAGTTTATACAGGATATTTTTGGTGAGGAATTCAGTTTCCAAGTTTCTGAGGATTGTTAGACAGCTTTTGAAGGACAACATGTTTATTTCTTAAACAAAGTGGAGCAAACTTGCATTTTAAACCTGTTCCTCACTGTCAGTCTCTTAACTTTGGGAAGCTTGTCTGTCAGAAAATTGCCAGTGTGGGTTCCATATCACATGTGCACCTCAACAGACTGTGTCTCTCCAGGTGACTAAGATCAAACAAAAAAAAAAACCCAAACCAAAACACAACAAAAGCATTTGTTTGTTTGCTTCCTTTTGGGGTATGTGATCCCATCTGGAATATCTAACACTACTAACATAAACCTCTTCTCTTTTGCCACAGACTGAAGGTTTCTCTGAAGCTTAATCTTCAAGATGAAGCTCTTAGTAGCAGTTTTCTTTTTCATCTCGTTCTCCTTATGGGTTGAAGAAGTCTATTCCAAAGAGAAGTCTTCAAAGAAAGGAAAGGGGAAAAAGAAGCAATACCTATGTCCATCGTATGTGCCTTGTTTCTATTATGCTTTTGTATGATGGTGATCCTGCCATTTTTTTAACAGTGGTAATTACTTGGCAACTGAAGTAGAAGGTGATGTTTTCTGCTGAAAGAAAGGGACTTGGGGTGGGGATGGGACCATCATTGTGATTAAGTTCTCCCAATGAGTGTTTTTCTGCTGCAGCAGGTCCTTTGCTTTAACAAAAGGAAATATCAAAGCCATAGTAAACAGTTACTTTCTTTGGGGAATATCCAACCCAGTGTCTTTCTATTTATGGGGTCATAGTAGTGTGGTTCCATAGTGCTGTGCTGCCTGGCATTGTGTTGCAGGTGTACTGGGAAAAGCAAGGAAGATGCAAAACTGTCGTAATGCAGTTTCTGGTTAGCTTAGTTCTGTAAGAGAAGGCTTGCAGAGCTTAATTCATGTTGAATAGAACTAAGGACTTCAGCATCTTCCATCAGTGATTTACAGCACTGTAACTTTTATGGAGGTGGATTGATTGTTGCTATAAAGCATGCTGTTATGGAACAATGTCTCTGTAAAAATGCAAAAATTAAAATCTGTCGTTGGCCAGCTGAACCGAGAATGTATTCTGGAGACCCATGATTACTTGGTGTTAAAAATACTCCATCTTTCTAATGCATACCACGTCTTAGGTTGTGATCTATAGGACAATGCAAAAGTTCAATTTGTGAGTGCCTTCTTTGTCATTTTCTTGGCCAGCCTTGCTGATCTTTATAGTGTTATGGTGTAAATATCCAAGGAAAAGATTGATGGAATATAGTAAGTTGCCAAGAAGCGTAGAAGAGAGCTATGCCTGAAATGATAAAATTTGTTTAGACAAATTTAAAGCACATTTCTTCATTGACCATAAAAGAAGAAGAGTGAAAGATGAGACTGGCTATTTAACATGAATAGACTGGAAGAAATGCCTGAATGATACTTTTTTAAGTTCTCACTCTTTTTAAATATTGACAATGATATTTATTTGTAACCCCAAATTTTTAGAAAGTTTCTAGTAGCAGTGAGTATTTTATTTTCTTTTTTTTTTTTTATATCAAACCTAAAAATGAGATCCATCTTTGGATTTAAGTACATTAAGATAAAAATGTGATCACGACAATGACCCCTACCCATTCCGTCCCTTTTGACTACTTGAGTTCTGAATGAGCTTTTGATCTGAGCTACCATGAGGATTTGTAGCTAGGAGAGGAATGTCAGAGTTCCCAGGACAGGTGACAGCACAGAAGTCCTCAGAAAGTGATTTACACAGCTGGGAACTGAGTCCAGGTCTTCCATGGTCTGCTTCAGCAGACCATGTTCTTGACTTGGTCTTAATTAGAATTTAAAAAATTAATGTCATTTTTTTATTTGTAAAGGGGTGGATTTAATTTTTATTTTTCTCTTAAGCACCTCTTAAGGTACGTTACGCTTTTGGACACCAGTTGCCATTACAACCATTAAACACGATGTCATTTGTCACCAATATACTTGAAAAGCATTGAATAAATGCTCTAATTTCTGATGTGTTACTTTTACATACCAACCAGTCGAAGCTTTCTGTGAAAATATTAGTGGAATCCAGTATTCGTCTGATGTATCACTTGTGAAGGATTGCTAGCTGAAATTAATTGCCCTAGCAATAAGCCCTGTTGGATTTTCTGAATAATGAAAAGGTTGCCTGTATCTTACTTGGCTGAAGTTCACAGTTTGAGAGACAACCACTTGTAATAGCAGGACTGTGGGACTGCTATTTTTGTGGCTGGCATCTAGAAGACATCTCATGTGAATGAGCAGTGAAAATCAGTTCTGTCTTGCAGAGAAAATAATGCCCTCTTAACTCAGGCTATCAATGGCAAACTTTCAATCATCAGCACATTTTTAAGTCTTCCACAAAACTTCTTGACTTGGTGACACTCTGCATTATACAATAGTCTGCCTGCTCTTAATATGTATTTTTTTCAGTGGAAAAAAGTAGTAAGGACTCTTTCCTCAGAAACAAACCAAAACAAAATGCAATGGACTGGGAATGAAGTGACACCATGGGGGTTGACAAAAAATGATCTTAAAGGAAGTGGTTGAATGAAAAATTTACTAGCAAAGCATGAAAGAAATCTTTTAGAAGAATGCATTGTATATGTCTAAAGGACAATAAATAGGATTTTGCATTATTTATAAAATTGAATGGGTCAACTTCCTAATGAAAACACATATTTAGAAGTTAAAATCTTAATCTGCCTTTAATTTGCTTTGGTTACTGGTGCAATAAAATTTAAAGCTTAATTGTAACAAATTATTGCCTTCTATTTCCTTAAAACTTACGATAAGCTAAATTTTACCTCGTCAAGAGCACAAAAAAACACACCTGTAATTATATAAGGAAAAAATATACTCTTTACAAACTTTATAATGAAATTCAAATGTATGCAAGTAACTTCCCAGGAAAGATTTTTACTGAATCTGATGTTACTGCCTGAGTTCCTTAGTCTGATGTTAAGAAATGGTTATAAGACTGGTTTGGGACTTCAGAATAAATTTGTTTGTATGGAAACCGAGCATACTTGAACTTTTCCTTTTATGGCACTTCAGAATACAAGCCTTTCACCAAATGTTCCCCCTGGCATGAAATTAACTACTATTAGAATAAGATGAAAACAAGCTGATTAGAAACCCCATTAAAAGTTCATTATTGTCTCATAGATAGATATTTTCTTCCTTCAATTAGGGAAATTCTATTTGGTATCTTAGAGCAAAACCTCTTGCGATTATTCATAATACTGTACTTCTCAGTGCATTGTGTGATTTTGGCTTGATAGCTTCATTTATTTCTGAAACTGTTTTTCTCAGCTTATTATTGAGGGGTTTCATGAAGTTGATGCTCAAGCACTTGATTCTTACTTTGATTTAATGCTTGCTCAGAACAGATGTAAGATTTAATATCTTACATTCAGATAATTTTCCTTCTTATCTCAGGCTTTCCAAATGAAACATAATTGTACTTAACGTCTGAGTCCTGAATGTTAGTTGATTAACAAAGAGATTGATATATTAGGCCTAAAATCCCATAATAGGGAGGTCTGCAGTGTAAGTCTGAGAAGCTGTCTTCCACAGATGGTTAGTGCAATAAAATATGAAGCTTTAGTGTAACACTTCTCTTGTCTCCATGGAAAATATATATAATATGCATATAAAGAAAACAGGTCTACCTCTTCAGGAAAATAACAAAGAATTTTGTGGATTGCAGTCTTCTGTTTACAAAGCTTGTTTTGAAATTCACTATACTGAATACAGATGATTTCATAAGACAAATGGATTTAGTCACTTGATCATAGACTACCCACCCACTGTTACTTCTTATTAACTTTTCATAATTCCTCATGATACCTGTTTCTGGTAAACATGTTGGACATTTAGCTGTGCATGTTTCTAAGAGCACTGCTGGTAAACATTTTTCCTTTTGTTACATCATAGTAAATGCTTCAGTTGTTTTATGATGTTATCCCCAAAATCCTTAGTAGCCCAGAAGGTCTCTACTCAAAAAATACTTGCAAGATCTCTAGGCAAATTAAATTGTAAGTAAAGGGAAGTTTGGTTAGAAGACACAGAGATGTAAGAGGTTCGAACAACAGCTAACAAAATCAGTTGACTGTGCCCATAATCACAACTATCCCTATTAATTGTAGTTTTACTATGACTCAGCTGTCCACTTGCACAGTGTTAATTTCTGAAGATCCCAGGGTATCTCTAATACTATGACAATGCCAAGCAGGATAACCTGTATCACTAAATCTCATTCTTTTGTCTGGATACCAAGGCTCTGCTTTTAAAATAGTGTCCCTTCTTGTCCGTTCTCATCTTTGAGCGTTTGTCCACATGGAGATTTATATCCATGTAGATGATTAACTAAATACCGCATGATATCTAGATATACTTTTTTACCCATCAAGCTGGAGTACAGATCATATTTTGGCTTGTATTCAATGAAGAGTATCAGCTACTTCAGAAACTGTGAAATGGCCCTCTAAGCCCTCCAGAAAACATGGCTTGTGCCATCTGCCGGGGCAGAGGTATAGAAAGGTCACAAATGCAAACGTTCAATAAACAGCTTCTTTTAAAAAGTAACAACGAAAGACAGTGGAACTGGAGAAAAAACGAAGTTGTTTGAAAGTCTGTCCTAAAATTTATCTTGGTTAACTTTCAGCTTCTGCCACATTCTTCCCATAAAGACTAAAGTAGAAGTTCAAAGAGAATCCTCTCCACCTTCCCATAGTCAAGGGCTTCTTTTTTTATCAAGCATTTGGTTATACGTGGCCTCTCTATCTGTAATATGTGATCAACCCCAAAATGTAAATGGTGGGAAAGTGGAATCATCTCTGTCTTCATCCCATTTTGTAGAAGGCACTGTTGATAGTATGTGGACATTTAATTTGTAAGTGTGATGAGAGGGATGCTACCATTTGTGGGAGAAGATGGAATGAAGTTGACAGAAAACCTTGAATTCGGTTGTGGAGGCAGTTTCATCTCGCAGTGGTTCTGAAGTACATTGCAGAGCTCATGTCTGGTTCCTATAAAAATTCTTTTGCCTCATGGTAGCAGCAGTTGGTCAATGATTCAATTATTCTGTATTATGTAACTCTCATGGAAAGCCATGATCCCAGACAGATAGGGCCAGATTCGAGGGGGTTTGGGAATTTGTTTTCAGAGTGGATGAATGTGCTAGAGAGTAAAAAGATAACAATATATAAGCAAACCTGGAGTTCTCTTGTAAAACAGTAATTAAGTGTGGTAGGCTGGTTCTTGTTCAGTAATTCACTGTCTCAGTGAACAGCATTTACTCCATTCTGAACACTGAAGCGATGACACACTGCAATCTTGGGGAAGGGTTACAGACTTTGTATTTCACTTACAACCTCCACACTAAAAAAAAAAAAGTTAGAGCTGCAGGATTAATTAAACTCCCCAAACCTAAGCCCAAGGAAAACCATAAGTCTAAGTTCTGCTCT